AGCCATAGGTATTTTAATGCAGTTATTATAGGATTTACTGTTTGCCATCTGTGTATCTGCCTCTCTAAAGTACCTAAAAACTTTCAGACTAGAAAGAGGTTTTTTGATTTCCCCATTTTACAGTACTTGTGTTGTCACTTTAACATTTTAGACAAATATGTTGATTTCATTGTTTTTGTTGTCCAGCAGGTTGTCCACAATGCTGTCTTTGGTCATAATCACCGGCCTCCTGGCTTTTACTTCTGGCAAACCATGTGGTAAGTATTTTTAATTATTTTTTAATAAAACCAGTTTTACCAATCATTAAAAACCCTGACTGACTAACTTTGTTCAGAATCAGAATCAGCATCAGAATTAGGTTTATTGCCAAGGTAGGTTCTTTACACCTACGAGGAATGTGTCTTGGCCATTGGTGCATAAAATATATAAATATACATATAAACTCAGGGAAACACAAACAAACTGAGCGCAAACACACTGACTCACTGGTCTGGACATTCACTGATTTTGCAATTTGATTTTAAATGGCCTTCACATTGCTTGCTCAGTGACAAAAGTTGAGCAACTGTCAGTTACCGACAATGTTGGCCCCCTTTTTGGTCATCAGTGATGAGGTTAAATATCACAGAGAGACATATTTGAAACATGAACACAACAAGAGTTCTTTCCATTATTAAGTCTGCACAGTCTTTGTTTCCTCCTGTTGTGACTGCTGATGCTGCAGTTCTGGTTTTGCAATGCTTTGAAAGTTCATGTTGTCAGCAGGAGTTACTGAAATACTTTTATGCCTGTGACCGAAACGTCTGAGAAATATTTTTATTTTAATATTTTAACCCAGATACTGAAGGATACAACAGTGAGCTGCTCCTGTCACTCAATAAGAATCTCCTTCGCTCTCTGGAGACGCAGGAAGGACTTCCCAATCCCAGTGTTCACTTGGCATTACGGCTTTCCAATCACCACAACTTGAACAAGGAGAGAGAACACCTGGCCAGACTGAAAAGTGATTTGCACAAAAACATTCAAAGGTGTTGTTTTACAAATGCCCTCATTCTTCTTCTATTTTAAATCTGTATTTCCATTGATTTATTTTCTGATGTTCTCCCTTCAACTTAAGTTTCCTGTGTCTTTCTCAGCTCTCTCTCTAAAAGCAAGTCTGTGGTCGGCGTCTTGGCGCTGTACACTCTGGCTTTAAAGTCCTCCTGCTCTGACACAGTCAACTTCACCGTCAACGAGAGGAATGAGACGCTGCTGACGCACCTGAAGAAGCAGATGGAACTAGAAAAAGAGCATATTGCCTGTAAGTTTTCCTTTGACCCTTTTGGAGGCCAACATGGTCATAAAAAGTGTTCACCATCTAGTTTTACATGGTGCTACAAAATGAGTTCAAAGTTTATTTAGTGTGGAAAGGAAATCAAAAAAAAAAAGAAAACTTGGGGTGACCTGAAGTAAATGAAACAATGTAACATTATATAATTTATATGTTTTGTATTTATGTTATTAGAAGATTATTTTCATAATCTACTTTTGTCATTAGAGCAACTAAATTCCATCTGTTGTAGTGTCTGTTGCTTTGGAGAATTTCTTCATGTTTTAATATAATTTGGTTTCTTTCGTTTATCCTCTCCTTTTTCGCAGTCAGCCAACGCCCTTTGACCAACTATTACCAGTACTCTCTGGGCGTGCTCGCTCTTTGCGTGAGCAGCATCAGGGTCGACCACCATGTCAGCCACAAGCTCATCAAGGCAGTCGAACATGAGCACTTCAAACATGGAGAATCTGAGAGTGTTGGTGAGGGAAACCTTCCTAAATAAATGATATGATTAAATAAACAAAGTGCAGAAATATGCAGGCAGGGATACATCTCAGTTCTTGTGATGAAAATTGTCTAATAGATGGTAATCTACTTACCATTCACAATCGTTTGTTGTTTGACTGTCAACAAAGATGCATGGCTGCAAACAAGATAATACCAGTGCTGTCTGTCTGTCAAATATGCACATTTGAATCCTACTTTCTCTCCATAGATATCTATGCCATGGCTGGAATAGCACTGCAGTGTGTGAAGGACGCTGGCTTTTATGTGCACAACGCTGCTGAGCTTGACACAGCCCTTACCAAGATCCAGCAGAAGCTCTTGGCCTCTCGTAGGACCGATGGTCACATTGGCAATGAGTTCAGCACAGGCCTTGCAGTTCAAGTAAGGATCTTTTTCCTTATTTTTATTTTTTATATTTTTTTGCTCAGCTCCCCTTGTCTCTTTCACCACCACCTGTGCAGCTTAAAAGGGTACTTATTTGATGTTTTCAAGGCCTTACTGGCAATGGGAAGCCCAGTTGCAGAGTGTGCTGTCCCGATGGAGGCCATGAGGGCAGACGCCAGAAACAACACATACCATAACCCCATGGCCATATCTCAGATCCTGCCAGCTCTCCACCAGAAATCCTACCTGACAGTTAAAAGCATGGAGTGCAACAATGAGGATGGTATGTGCAGAGTTATTTCTTCCCCCTGCATTCACTTCAGGTGGTTTCAGGTTGTCACTCTTGTTGTCATGGTGTGTGCCTTTCTACAGACACTCTGGTGCTGGAGCCCATAAATCCTGTGGTGGTTTTACCAAGCAACATCAAAGTGACTGTGATCGTGGAAGTGGTGACGTCCAGCGGGGCCGCTGCTGTTTACTCTGTTGATGTGCCAAAGGGCAGCTCTCTGTTGGAAGCCCTTGAACTTCTCAAGGCGGGAAATGTTGGCTTCACGTGAGTTCATATGATGCAACTTGGTAAATTTCAGCTTTTTAAACTCAAACAAAAGTCCTGCATGAGTAATATTTGATGCTATTTGGCAGGTTTGAGAAGGAGAACAGTCTGTGGGGACCCTTCTTAAGTGCGGTGAATGGAGAGCAGGCCAGACAGAGCGACCGCAGATATTGGCACCTCTCCTCCGATGGTACTGCACTCAGTGAGGGTGAGGAAACACACACACATATACATTGTGACTTACTAATACAGCATTTTTTTTATTTATTTTACCTGCTGCTTTAATTTCACTTTGGTTTGCTCCCTCAGGTGTTGGTGATTTCAAGATTAAGGCGGCTCAAAAGATCACCATCAAAAACACAAGGCACTGAGAGTCAGTTACTGCTGGTGCAACAGTAATCAAATCACAAAAGCAGTTCAATCTTTATTATTTTTTTTATCCTCTGTTGTTTTAACCAATGATTATACATTTGGTATTTCAAGTAGGTTTGGAACTTAAATAATAATGTGTAATTTAGAACTAATTGAAGAAACTTTACTGTGAATATTCTAACTTTAGTATGTAAATTGTAAAGCTTTTTTATGCTGGATTGTTAAATGAGTGTGAAATGTTTATTCAAATGAATTACAATGTGTGATTGTGCTTTGCATGTGTCTAAAGTACCTTTATTATGCATTATAGAATCCTAATTGACATTGTCACACTTACTTGTGCCAGTGGGGCTCCAAACATATATTATTTGTTTGATGCTGACATTTCTTGTAGCTGACATTTTCATGCAAATTGTTACAGTTTGAAAAGTAAATTGATTGAAGTACAAGATCAAACCCTAGAAATAAAACTTTGGATGCCTTCAAAGTCACATGGCTGGGGGTGAAAAAGTGATGCTGTGACACATATTTTGTGACCCATTTCCATAGTCCATTAACACTTTTGATTGAATGTCTGATGCTGAGGTTGACAACAAAAGAGTGTCTCTCTCTTGTAAATAAGAAAGAAAAATTATCCAAATGTCAGCAGGAATGATTAACAGGCATTATCCCAAGGTACACACTCAAGGAAAGAAACACTAAAACTATACGGCTTTAAATGTCACAAATGCAATTATGTGAAAATGAAAAAAACATGTTATGCCTTACCTGTATGTCTACAGATTTTCTGCATGAACAGAAATAAAAATGAACCTCATTCATCTGGTGGAAATCTCAGGGCAAAACACAAGTACTTTCGGACTTGTAAAATCCAGCATTAATCATTTCCCCCCCATATAGTTTAAGTTAAAACTAATTAAATATTGTCAATGTCTCAAACAAGCAGGATACGGTTTGTCAAAATGCTTTTATTGCGAAAGTACAGAACTTGTACACCGGAAGTGATTCCTGTTGCTACTGTTTGTAGCATTTGGACACATTTTTATATAAAGTTATTCTACTAATTTCACCTACCGGCAGTAAATATGCGAGGCACGAAAAAGTGAGCGCAATTCAAGCGATATATCGGTGTTCATAAATGTAGGAACAGTTGCACATATAGCTGTAAATCGATGATTGATAACGAAAGTTCATGTCAGCTACGTCCTGGAGATGATTAGCGAGCTACCATGAGGTTGTCTCACTAACGTCAGCCGGCACCAGGTGACATGCAAATACATGTTGTAATCCTTATGTACTTGTATTTATTTATATCATAATGTCTACTCTGTATCGATGCGCTCTTTTGTACCGTGTTTCTACATTAAAGCAGCAGACAGGTTTGATACAGCTCATGAGATTTGGGCACAATGCGCCTCCTTCATCGTGGAAGACACCTAACACCGTCTGGGGAGTTGGAAACACGGCCATAACTCAGACAAATAACCTCAGCACCATGGCCAGTAAGTCAGGGAGGCTCAGTTTTTCTTGTTCAAGGTGCTTTTCAAGTTCAACTAAGGCTGGATCCGCTCGAGTAAAGAGAGTTTCTATCGAGGGCAACATTGGTAAGTTACAATATTTCAAAATAAGATGAAATATTTTTGGGCCACTCTATGAGCTATATGTGATCTCCTGTCTTATGTCATCTCAATTATCAGCTGTTGGAAAGTCGACTTTTGCAAGACTGTTGCAGTCAGCTTGTCCAGACTGGGAGGTGGTGGCAGAACCTGTAAGCAAGTGGCAGAACATTGAGAGTGGTACCTCAAAGGTTTGCGCACATTCACATCTATATCTTTCCCCCAACAACAATCAAAAGGAGGCCAGGCTGACCATCTCCGCTTCTGTTTTTGACAGGGGACAGACGGGTCCCCCCAGACAACAGTCAGCAACCTGCTTGAGATGATGTACCAGGACCCTCAGCGCTGGTCGTACACGTTTCAGACGTATTCCTGTATGAGCCGGCTGAGAACTCAGCTGCAGCCTCCTCCTGCTCACCTGCTCAGCTCAGAGGGAACACCTGTCCAGGTGTATGAGCGCTCAGTCTACAGTGACAGGTGAGTGAGTCAGGGCACTCCAGGATTGGGTCCTTTAAGTAGAAGACCCATCACCATCTCATATAGGCGAGAAGGTGTTAATGTCTTTTTTACTAAAATGATTTCAATCAGAGCGAGGAGGCTGCAGACTTTCTCCACTGTCCATAAATTGACACATTATAACTATATTATTATTGTTATTGATCAAAGTTATGCTCATGATATAAATATCATGAAATGGATACACGTACTTTATTTACCTTTTAACTGCATTCTCCTTTATTTTGTTTGTGTAAAATTAAACTTGACTCTCTGTCCTGTCAGATACATCTTTGCCCTGAACATGTTTGATCTGGGTTGTATCAACTCTACAGAGTGGGCAGTCTACCAGGACTGGCACTCCCTCCTGGTGGAGCAGTTTGGACACCAGGTGGAGCTGGAGGGCATCATCTACCTCAGAGCCCCACCTCAGGTATGAATCTCAGAGATTTAATGTTCCCAAGAGATGTAATTAATCTGACAATAACTCACGAGGGAAGAAGATGTTTTCAGCCCATCATTTTGACTTGTTGTTTATATTTGTGTTATTCAAATATTACTCTTCTAACTCTCAGAAATGTATGGAGCGTCTGGAGCGCCGGGGAAGGGCAGAAGAGAAGGGAGTGAAACTGGACTATCTGAATAAGCTACACGTTCAACATGAGAGGTGGCTTGTTGAGAAGAGCACTGAGTGAGTTGTGATGTCTGTGTCGTCTCTCTGTCACTCTTCGGACTTTTATGTTTTGAATATTTCCAATGACGCAACATTACACAACCTTTTGAAGTGTAAAGTTAAAGTCTTCTGGCTGATAGATCCTTTTTGATGCACTTTAATAATAATCAGGTGGCTACTGTGAATGCAGGCCTGATGTGCACAGTGTAAAAATCTGGAGAGACTTGTAAATAATCCAACCAGAATCTGATGTAAAATGTTAAAATAAAATACATTCAGAAAGTGAAATGACCAGCATTGCAGGATGCTTCACTCAGATTCCTGTTCAATGACCATTTTAAATGCCTTACCTCGCAGCTGTTTGTTGCTCGGCTGTGAACAGATGACAGTCAGCAGTGTGTGGTCTGGAGACTTTGTGTAATACAGCTCGGCTCTCTCTCTTTTTTCAGAATACATTTTGAGAAGTTGAAACAGATCCCTGTGTTACAACTCGATGCCAGTGTGGAGTTTCAGAGTGACCCAGAGGTGCGGGAGCAGTTTATAACCAAGGTATGTTTTTATTTATTGCACTTTGCTGTAATAGCTGCTATGCCAGGGACAACCACACGGGGGCCCCGTCCTAATGTTTGGGAACTAATTTTTCATCCTGCCTGTCAGACACATTCCCTTTTTCTGAACTGATGTCTGATGCGTTTCATGTTTCTGATCCGCTGTGATCTTAAAGCACCTTTTCATACACAGGTGAAGAACTTCTTCAATGCTTTATAAGAAGATCAGCAGCGGGAAACGGATGAGACCAGTCAGTCAAGTGTGTTAACTGACACATAACTACACACAAGTCTCATAGAGTGAAATATAAAGTAATATAAAAGTTTTTCTCTTTTTGTTTAGCTGCTGTCTTTACAGGACCATACTACATAAAACACACAGTTTTGTCTATTTAAATGTGTTGCTTCTAAAGAGACTTTTAGATTGTTACATCTTTTGTTGTTATTTTATGTGTTGTATCATGGTTTTGAAGTTACTTCTTGTACTGTCGATTTAATTTGAAATCTGTAACACAATAATTCACACATCTGAGCGCTTGAAACACAGAGAAACACTGTTGAGTGATTTTATATCTTGTTCAAATTATAAATTATATGTGCTTTCACTAATATGACCTTTGGAACGTTTACTGAATATAATACAGTTTTTGTGTATGTTACTGTTTTACACATTCCCGAATGACAACCTGGAACAAGCAGATAAGACAAGTGTTGTATTTAATGTTTGTTAAATAAATAAAAAAAGGATTTTGTGTTTTTAAATATTAAGTTTGTCTTAAAAGTCTGTTTTATTATTTTATCTTTGACTTTTATTATTTGTTTCTGTATGTGTGAAATTGTACTTTACTTCTCCCACTGTTGCTCAACAGTAAGGTGTTAATGGCTGTACAGCACTTAAAGAATTATTTGTTAATGGATTTTTACATTTCTAAAGGATTAGGTTCCTCAATGAATATAAAAAGCCAGGCAGTTTGACAGGACAATGACCTTGGCTAAATGTTTGTTTTTTTCTGCCCCTCTGATGTGCTCTGATGATCAGAGGGGCTGTTAAGATGCCTGGAGTGGTCAGGGGTCATCAAAGGGCAGCTGTCCACTATAAAGGGGCCTGGCTGGAGCTCCGTCTGCACATAGCATCATTTCAGCCTGAGCTCAGCTAGAGGAAGGAGATCTTTGCCTCTCTCTCTCTCTCTCTCTCATTATTGTTGCAGTAGACTTTGTGAGATTTAGTTAAAATGGATGCTAGAGTCCTGACAGTTTTCGTCACATTCCTCTTTTGCTCTTCTGGAGTTGTTTTCTCCACTCAGGGGCACAGACATCACACAGGCCTCGAGGCTAGTTTAGCATTCAGAAATCTCTCCACGAGTCATCGCAGCAGATACCCTCTGTACATGATGCAGCTGTACCGCTCCTTCAGGACGGCTGATTCCTTGTTGTCAGTACCTGTCAACACCATCACTACACCGGGCGAAAACCCGCCAGCACACAGTTCTGACTCCGTCCTAAGTCTGATGGCCAGAGGTGAGTAAACTGTTTTACTTATTGTTTTTTACCTTACTGGATTTAAAGCATGTTATATCCTGTATATGTTAGTTTCTCCTCAGTGTGCTCTATCCTCCAGCAGCTCTTTGGCTGCTGCGTTATCTGTGTTATCAGACCCTCCCTTTTTACAACCTAGCAAGTGTCAAAATGCTTATTCGACTTTAAAGGCTTTCTCTGTTTTATGTGAGAGGGTGTGTATATTAGCCCTCAGACGTCCTTGCACAGGGGGGTTCAATACACATCCTGTCCTGTTCACCCTCTCACTCTGGTGTTTTGACATTTGTCCAGGGATCTGGTTTGCCCCTGAATCATCCAGACTGCTGACTGCTTTGCGTGGATTCTCATTTTAATGTTTTGTCTCATTTTTAGGTTGCCATCAAGTGGGTGAAAGATGGACAGTCACATTTGACATGTCGTCCGTGTCTACTAGTGACCTTGTCCAGCTGGCAGAACTTCGGATCAGACTTCCCACTTTCTCTGGCTCTGAGCGTGCCACTGTGGATTTATATCACTCCAGGAAGCAGAGCTGTAACCTGGGCAGCACTTCATGCCAGGATGAGCACCTTTTCCTGGGGAGCTTCGGTACATCACCCAGCAGCACTAAGTCTTCCTGGAAGGTTTTTAATGTGACTGCTCTGTTAAAATATTGGCTGTACCAGGGAGATAGAGTGCCGAGCCAAGAGGCCTCAGGAGAACCTGACATGGACCATGGGAGCGGTGCTGGGGATGAAGGGAAGATTACTGAGTCCCTCTTGGAGAATTTAGGGTCAAGGCAAAGAAAAATTCACCATCCAACCACGAACCGGGTCACAATGGTCATCTTCTCCAAACATAACCTGCCACAGGAAGGCCATACAGCATACAGTCTCATTCATACCGTGGAGAACTCCAAGTATGTGACCAGGGACAGAGTCAGCAGTGACGGTCAAAGTCGACGCCACAAAAGGAACAGAATGGAGAGGTTGAGGGTGGCCGACGGAGCTTTACCTACGGCTGCACCAGCAGCAGCAGAGCCGGCCCAGAGGCCTCTGTGTCGGAAGGTGGACATGTGGGTGGACTTTGACCAGATCGGATGGGACGAGTGGATTGTGCACCCTAAGCGCTACAATGCATATCGCTGTGAGGGAGAGTGTCCTACACCTCTTGATGAGTCCTTCCGTCCCACCAACCATGCATACATGCAGGTAAGATGACAACATGATCCCATTCAACTCTATCATTTTAAACAATCACAAGTTGTTGTCTAGTTGCTGGTTTATTTATGTGAATCATTCATATATTTTTCAGAGCCTCTTGCGACATCACCATCCAGAAAGAGGGTCTTGCCCATCCTGCGTGCCAACACGCCTCAGCCCGCTCTCCATGCTGTACTACGAGAACGATGATTTGGCCCTGCGGCATCATGAGGACATGATTGTCGAAGAGTGTGGCTGTCACTAAAGGCCAGCCCATCGCCGGTTTCACTGCAGTCACAAGAACCACTAGCAACGGAGTTTGAACTTTAATTCAACTGTTTCTCTACTGTCTTTGTGTAAATTGAGAGTCCTAGTCATGGCCTTTTTCAACAAACTACAGGATATGACTGTTAACTTTGAATGATTTTATCTCATCCATACTGGGTGGTCCACAATAGTATATATCTTTAAGAAGAAAGCTCCATTATGCAAATGTTATGTTTTATCTATTTATACATTAAAATGTTTATTTTGTACATAAAATATGAAACAATATATTAAAACAATTTATTTTGACATGATTGTGATGTTTTGTGTTTTTTGGACACGACTGAACTTGAACATAGTTTCTGAATATCGGGTATTCATGAACCCTAAATATGTATAGTGTTGAGTTTAAAACCCTATGCAATATATTTTTCAGGGTTTTTTTGTGTTATTGTGCAAGTTTTTTTTAAATTGACCACAGGACATTTTAGGGAATGGGGTGGTTTTCAAATTAAAATATTTTAGTGCAAAAAATTTTGAATTTTAAATTTAACAATAAGGTATTATTAATAACATTAGATAACATTTAAATCTTTATGGTCATTATTTGCTTCCATGCATAAATCAATGATTTGCAACCTTTTAAAAAATATTCAGGACTTCAGAATCAGAGATATCTTACTGATCCATGGGGGATCAAGGTGCTCACATGACATTAAGAGCAGAAAAAATATGTGTATTACAATATCTAGCAGTACATCTAGAAAGAAATATATAAATGGTCCAGTTTTTTCTGGATTTTATTTGTAGTGATTTTCATTGAATCTCTCAGCAGTAGCTATTAAATAGAACAAAATCCTCATAAACTTGTTGTACAACCTCTGTGACCTAACAGAAAGCCTCAACCTGCTCGTAGATACTCATCTACATCTTAATCCCACTTGTCTTCTGTGACTTGTGACTAGCTAACATCTTAGTGTATTTACCTTCCTCACCTCCAATCCACATCTTCGGGGCTTTTACAGCACACACATCATCAGAGGTCATTAGTGTCCTTTCTGGCCAGGCTTCTTTTGTTGATTGGGATCAAACAGGTAACAACCCAAAAAGTATACTGAAAGATGGAGCAATGGGGGNNTACTTTGGGGAGACGGGGGTGTCAGGAAGCAGAGGTGACAAGAGGAGAGCCCAAACAAACAGAGAGCAATGTGAGGGAATGGAGAGAGTCAACGTCTGGATGCTGAAGCTACTGTTGGGGAAGGACAGGGTGGACTGAAACCGTTCAATCCACACCTCCACCCAAGACAAGACCAGACTAAGTTCTCTGGTAACTTTCAGTTTTATTCAACTGTACTCAATTGTATTGCCAGCAATGATGCCTGAAAGCTTTTAACCAGCTTATACTTACCACAAAAGGTATGTTTTTTACATAGATGATGAAATAAGATGTGTATGATGATGCACAAACAGTTTGTCCAGAAAACACAAACACAGCAGGAGAGCTTGATATCATCACCTCCACATCGTGTGTCAGTTCTCTCACATCTACTTAACAAACCTTTCTGTTTGGTGGTCAGACAATTTCACTCTTACTGGGAATAATTACCAATTAATGCAGATAAATAGTTATCTTATATTCCTGCACATTTTAAAATCTTTGTCAGTAGTGGTGTTCAAATTAGTGGACCTAAAGTACTACTTTCTGCAACATACGGTCCTGTTCTGCAGTTATTCAGTGCACCAATGATCAGATACCTTTAACACCATTTACCTACATGCGATAACATCTTTTGCAAATTCTTTACCTGTTTAGTCCTATTCAGTGGTCAATGCAAAGGTGAACTGAAGCATATCTCAGCATGCATTTGTAAAAGGCAGAGAGGGAACTGAAAGCTGAACACAACTGTTCACATTAACATCTGTAGATCGTAAATTGTCCAATTGCACCTGACTTTGCACATTTTTGGAAACTTGCAGAACAAAGAGAGGAGCTTAGAAAACCCACTAACTCTGTAGCCTGAGACGTCCTGGGACATCCATTATTTGGAATAGACTCACATCAAAAGGGAAAAGCCTGGTAAGCCAATTCAAAATGAACATACCAAAACTTGGGAAAGAGAAGTGGAACAGAAATGTTGCATGATTCCATGACCCCATCTGGCTCTTAGGAGGGAGGGAGTCTCTCCCAGCTATGTACAGTTGTGTATTGACCTCTCTTTATACAGTCCACTGACTGAGGTTATCAGTTGCCAGTGAGCTCCGTGAGGAATTCCTCTGATATGACTTGTGGTGAATCAGTGGAGCACAGGAAGTGCTAAAGACTGTTGAGCAACATGTCATAGTCAAGATTTATTATTCCAAGATGTGTATTAACTCTTCACTTTAAATCAGGAAACATTTGAACTGTAAATAGCTCGGCTGTAGTCATCTAATCTTTACTTTTTATTGTGGAAATAATCAATGGCTTTCATGGCTTTTTGCTCTTTCAGGTGGCACAGTCCAAGAGAAATGTGTATTCAGACCAGTGAACCGATAAACATGAAGACATTACCCTGACTGCTGTGAAATTATAATCCACTGACAAGACAGAACAAGACTCAATAGGAGCACAGAATTGCTTTAATGCTTTGTCACCATACAAACTGTGTGAAAATCTGTTCCAAAAAATTTGATCAAAAAAATTGTTTTTACATTCTCTGTATGACACTTCGGGAAAAACAAATTATACAGTATCTTGAACATTTCAAAGCAATATCTGAAGAGAGGTGTCAGGACGTGTCGAAATGAAAGCACATCGAGTGACAAATCCTTCTGGAATGGTTATAAATTCAGCTCATTTCAATTATCTCTGTTCTTATGAATGAGGCTTTGTTGGTGTTAAGTACTCAGTGTTGATTTTAAACTTGTAGCCACTACAGGAAGGCACACTTTGTCACACATAAATCAGGTTTAAGCCTTGAGGCAGACAGAAAAAAGTTTCATTACAGATTTGTTCTGGACAAAACAAGCAAATGAGATTGATAAAGACAGACTTTAAAAACACTAAGACACTGGAGACACTGAAGGCGAACCTCCATCCTCATGGTATGGATGATGGGAAAAGAGAAGGTGCTCCTGAGCTTCTCTTCACAGCATCTTGTTGGTAAGTCTGACTTTAATACTTGTTCCAGGACAACCTAGATGTCCATTTCAAACTGTGCGTCATCACCTATACAAAATAAAATAGAGAAGACACAAATATTTCATAAAGCAAATGTCTTACTACATTAGGATTCAACAGTCTTGTATTACATTGAACTCACAGCAGGACAACTGGAGGATCATAAACTGATAAATAACATCTGGCAGTGACCAATTCACCACAGGGTGTCCATGATTCATTTAATTTGACAAGAATCAACATCTAATATGTTTTTTAATAAGTTATCTAACCTGAAATGCCTTCAAATATGTGTCTGTCTTTTGAAACAAACTCAGATATATATGAATATGTGTTAAATAAATGGTTAGTTCTGATGGACTGCAACTTTCTGTATAAGTAATCAGTCATTCAAGAATAAAACTGACAAAAACTAATAAGATACCATATCAGGTCATAGCTGAGCTCCAAACCCCAATCAGAGCTTTGTAGGTGGGGTGGATAAGTCACCATCTTGTGCCACAGCCAAGAAAATGTTGACAAGCATATGTGAGACTGACGAAGATGTTCAGGTTGCTGAAAGTCGACTTATAGAAATAACAACTCTACAACTGACAGAAAATTATGTTGACAGGACTTATACAGCACTAAATACTGACTTTTAACAAAAGTTAGGAAAAAAGAGAGCACATTACTCTTGTTTTAGCTACACTGCATATTAGAAGTTATTTTAATAAGGTCCTTATACTTGCGCTTAGGGCCTCTGAATCTGGTATTTTAACTGTCCCTGAAGTAGCCCACAAAACGAGCAGGGAAACTGCTTTTAGCTACTATGCTCCAACACTGTCCACTGAAGACAGAATAGCTACTTAACATGTATCTATTGTGTTTTGTTTTTATTATTTTTTGAGTGTAAAGCACTTTGAGATTAATTTTATCTATTAAAAAGGTGCAATATGAATAAATATTATTATTACTCATTAGTTAGGGCAAAATTACGAAGAAACCCCCCCAAAATCTTAGGCTGAACGATAAAAAGGCACAAATGACCTCCTTTTATCTTGTGTTCAAACCTCAAACTGGCTTCTATCATCAATGAAAGACAGAGAATGACTGCTATGTGAACACAGGTTAATAATTTAATGTCAGACAGTAATACATGTGACATAACTGAGGTCTTTTCAGTGCTGCAGCTTTCAGGGGCTACATAAATTTAATAGCTACAGTCACCCTGAGGAGTGAACTTACCAGTGTTGCTGCTTTCAGGTGCAGGGATGTTGTTGTTGTTCAGTAGTTCTCCATTACGGGCCTTCTCGTTGGTGTCTCCGGAGGGAGGACTGGTCACCCCGGGAATCTTGGGCAGACCTCGCGGAGGAGTCTTGGCCACTGGAGAGCTGCGACACTCCAGCAGGAACTTTCGGTCGTAGATGATCCTGGTACCTTTTGTGTTTGGAGGTAGGAAAAGAAAAAGGATGACCATCAGCTGCTTCAGTCATCATTCATCACTTCTCATCATTACTCTGCTGCAGCTTCCTCCACCATCTAAACCTAGCAATGTTGGTGCAACTCAAATTTGAAGGCCATGAATGTGTTTACTAAGGGAGGTTGTCTTTGCAGACCCGTCAGTAGAAGCCTTTTCCATCAAATCTAACCGTATAACCATCTATAAATGGTACTTTTCTTGATGAAAGTGTATTCTATTATTAGTGTATAAGGGGCAGAGTAACTCAGTCTGTAGGGACCGGTTAAATACAGTATATAATGTGGACTGGTAGCTGGACAGGCGCCTATGGCCACCAGGAGCACCATTACCGGCAGCGGACAGTAGGTGTCGCTAACGCTTCAACATCAGCTGATAAAACCCACAATAAAACCCCGAAAACACGTCTCATTTCACCCAGAAAACAAGTTGCAATGGACGATATGCCACCCACATGCACGCACTCACAGTTACTCCACAGCTTTAGACTCAACAACGTTACTTAATCTGCCTCTATTTGCATCCAAACACTTGATAGCTCAGCGCTAGCACTTAGCTTGAACGGAGCTAGCAGCTGGTTGTGCACGGTGGCGTTTCTGACAGCGACCGACCGCATGGAGTTAGCCCCCATACAGCTGTTTACTGTGCACAAGAGCCTAAATCATGTATGACCGTGGGTAGAAGCACGTCTCCCCGGCACATAGAAGTTCATAAGAGGTGTAACAACAGCTCGTACCACCCGGGGTAGTGCTGAACAGGGTCCCTCCCGGGGTAGAGGAGTAGTCGTGGGGCATGTGCGTCGCGTCGTTGATGGTCACCCTCCTGGTCGACGGGATGGCCTTGGCAGTGGTCTTCTGGCAGTCAGTGGACATCTTCTCTCAGCTCTAATGAACTAAAACTAGCTGACTAAATGACATGAAACAGGCAACAAAGAAACAAACTCTTGGTTTTGACAACCCAACAAAGCCGCGCCTGTTTCAGATATTGCTTTGGCTCAACAGACTGGCTACTTTCGGATAAATAAAAATAAATACCTCTTGTTTCATAAGTGCAAATGATGAAAGGCAGTACCTAGATTGGTCACATTACAACATGCAGTCTCTCTCACACACACAAAGTGGTTCTTTTGTTTCTCCGCTTCCACTCACTCACTCTCTACATGCACACAAAACAACAGACAGACAGCAGACAAGCTGCAGGGGAAAATAACTCCCGAGGTGGACAAAGTGAAGTTATTCCGCCCCCTACTGGCACATAATGCCTGTGCAATGGCTGTATATATTACATTAAAGCATATTTAATAGACCCATGTCATCATATAGACTATCTAATTAGGATAAAAGATCAACTTCTTATGATATTGGCAGTGAAACAACCACCAGTTATAACCCTAACATATGGCAAATAGCAATAGCTTCTGGTTTTATGTAATGGATACTGAAAACAGATATAGGCACTTGTCACTGGTGCATTAATTTGTCTATATGTGAGCTTTTGCAGAGTTTCAGTGAGTAGCTCTGCTTACGCTGTTGTGTTAAACATTTGGTACTTTGGTGAACGTCTTATAGGATGTAATGATCTTCATTAGGCTGCAGAGGACAAGGCCTGGAACAACTGAGAATGTATACAACACTTCAAAACTACAGTACGGTCATCAGCAGTTGGGTGTGCGTCTCACACAAAAGTATACACACTATACACAAACACATTTCATTTCTTTATTAATTTTTGTAAATGTTGAGCTGGTGTACAGAGTAAATTGTCAATAGATGTTCTCGGATTTTGATTGGATTAAAAGGCTTTTACATTTATATTTTAAATTCATGTTTGACTCTCCATAACAATAAAAAAAGCAAACAAAACAGGTTAAAATACCCACAAGACCCCTATTTATCCCCAGGTTGCAGGCATTACCCAGAACTCAACAGTCTCTTGGTAGCTACAGCTGTATGATGCTAAAAGTACATCCATAACATAACTAGAATCCCATTTGACAAGTAAGGGTGCATAGCATTCTAAGTAAATATATATATATATATATTTTCATATATTTCATATATATATAGCCTTTTATGTTAAAAACATTTTCTGTGCATGTGCGCAGTTGCATTCCTTAGTATTGAGTAATATGCTATTGCGTTAATAATGTCTTCAATCCATTCTAAAGGAATATACATGTGTTCTCTAGTTTTTGCAACAGTTAATATTTTTGCATGAACTTGGTGCATGGTGTCATCTCAGTAGTTCCTCAGTGCAGAGCTGAACTTTGTCTGATGTAACCACTCCTTCCTCTGCACAGTGTTCGGACTCCTTCTTTTCAAAACCACGTTCAAACTGTCACCGCGTGGAAGCCTCAAAATCGGCTCAGTCTTATATATTTGGTAAAGGGGGGTAGAAATTAGGGGAAGGTTGTGTTGAGGAAAAATGCTTGTCATCTTGAAAGACTAGCCGTCGGAGCCACCGAGTCTTCCCACAACTCCATCTAACTTCATAGTGCTCCCCCTTATTGTCTTTTCATCGGACCCCCCCTCTAACCCTGACATCAGCAGTGGATTTATAAGCGGCCTCTGCTTCAGAAAGCAACCCAAGCATACCGTAATTATGAGCCCTTAGAGAGCAAACTGTATGCTATAACATAAGGGCTAATACACCATTACACTGATGTGTAATCTTTATTGACATCCAACTTTTTGTGGTTATTAAAAAAGATAATAAAATAGAAATCATATCTGATGAAGGGATATTTGTTAAAGTGTCCAGAACCCATTTAAAGGCTTCTCTGTCTTCTCTCTCATGTTAAATGATTTTTGTGTATGTTGATGAATGTTGATGATCAACAGCAGATATTGAGTTGAAACAACAGAGTGAATACCCTATCATCTACTAAAGTACAGAGCCAACACACATGACTATTTTATAACAAGACTTATAGTATACCAAAGATCTTACATTCATCATCTCTGGCTGTGTAGCCGTACTAAACAAACACTTATTGATGGGTGATTATTGCAACGTTTCTGTGACTTACATATTTTTCCATAATAAAGCATTTAATGTCTAACATAATGTTTGAAAGAAATGCATGTAGGTAATTGATATCATGTGAGATGGCACGCTTATTGAGGTAAATAAAGTTTTAAAAAATACGTGAGTTAGAATTACATGTATAATCTGAGAGCCTCTGCTCTTTGTCCATTTGCAATATAACTTCCTGTGATATTATCACAACTTTGACATTGTCCCAATATCCAGGACTGAATACGTGATATTAAAATCACACACACAAACACACATACAGTAGGATTTCTCTCAAGGTGCATATGAATGTCTTTAAGGTTTAAAAACTATGACTAAACACACCTACATTCCCTGATGAGTAACAAAAACAGACAGTGGGCACTGGTCTGAAGTCATACCAGTGTTTGCCCAATCTTAGTGTAAAACTTCACTGTTTTCTTTTCTAGAGAGTCAAAGTGATAAAATGTGGGATACTAATGTACTGACATCATTTCTGTGTGGAGTGAGCAGTAGCCTAAAGCTGTGATTAACAAATCAAAATCTTAGAAAAGAACATGAACTATGATCCTAAATCCTCCCTCTCTCTTTCTCTCTCTATGTCACACTCAAACACACACTCACACAAACAATCCTTTCCTTTTGTAAGCAGTTATTGCTTCTGCTGAAGTACAATTAAGACAGTAAATCATAAAAAAAAGACAAAAAAAGAAAGAAAAAAGGAGTGAAACAAAATACACGCTTCGGGAAGGGTCAGGCTCACAGTTGCGGGTCGGTATTACAGTTTCTCATCACAGTGATTGGTGACTGACTGTCTTTGCTACACTCCAAAGAATTGCCAAGGAGACAAACATCAAAGCTCAACACGTCCTCGACCCTCGACTTGACACTTTCCTTTCTCCAGCTGACTCTTTATCTTTTACCCAGTCAAACCAGTGCTACATTATTTCCAGCATTTCAGCTACTTTACCCTCATCAAGTGACATCTTCTGGTGGCGGTGGTGGTGGTGACATGGTGTATAAGTGCACCTCATGTGTGGTGGTATAATATACTGCATGATGAGGTCAATCAGACGCTGCTGAAGGTGGGATCCTGCCCCCCCTGCTGGAGGAGGGCAGGACTGCTACATCTACTCTGAGAGGCTGACTGGAGGGGTGAGGGGGTGAGAGGTGGAGGTAGGGCAATAAAGTCAAGATTTAGAGTGAAGACTGGTTATTGAGATTTTGGCTCAGACAGACATCTGATTCACACAAAACCTCACAAGGATACAGCACACTGGGGACAAGAAAAGGCGGACGAGTGGGATGGTAGAGTAGGTTAATCTCTCATGATAATCTTTCACTCACCATATATCTCATTGTCACCCTCTCCACAAGGCAAACCACTCTGAGAGGAGGTCGGGGAGGCAGGTTCAGTGCAGAAACCTGCCTCCCAAACCTCAAAAAGCCACAGTACAGTAAATGACTTACAATATGTCTTCCCTCTACAGTTTGACATGTCAAAAGCAAAGGGCAAAAGCACATGGAAAGCACAAAGAAACAAACAACCTGACACACAAAAATCCGACGTTTAAAACAGGCAGAGCGACACAACATTTGTATGTTCTTGTACCCACAAAGATCTCAAGATATATAGAATAATATATAGGTTCAGACCAAACGAACCAAACGAGAAAAACAGGGAGGAAATTCTTATGTACCTGAAACAGCAGCATCAGTGGCATCGCATAGGGATCTTAGAACATAAACAACACACGTAACACACAGTCACGTATAGCATTTTAGTGCATACGATATTATGTACAACACCGATATCCTTGTGTGATAATTGTAGCTTTACTGGACTTTGAGAGCACTGGGACAGGTTTAAAACTAGTTTGTGATGCTCTTAGCTGGAAGAATGTGGCAGGGAGGAGGGGGAGTAACCTGTTGCCTAGAGATTATGTAATTCTCAGTATTTTAATCTCCCTTTTTTGACTGATACACTTTCCCCTGTTGGTTTAGAAAACGGGCCAGTGATTGACCATACCCCACATTGCATGCCTGTCCCACACAGTAGTGTCTCCTCCCCATCCCTCCCCACCCTTTTACCCTCCCTTGAATTCCCTCAGTATTTGTAGTTAAAGACAGGCCATGCGGCAGCAGTCACTCATGCTGATACAGATAACAGGAAGCACGTTTTGGTTGCTAGTTTTTTTTTTTTTTTTTGTGTTTGGTTTTTGTTTTATACGAAATCATGCTTCTAGTCTAGTAGTAGATGTTTTTTTTCCACGGTTTCTTTAAAAAAAAAAAGGTAATAAAAACTACAAGTAAATCCGTATCCTTCTCTTCTGGTGCGTGCTGATAGTCGGCAGAGCCGCTGTGGTTGGTGTCTGTTGCCCTTCATTTCTGTCTGTCTGCCTTTTTATGTATGTTCTTCCTCCTGTCAGCTGCTGCTGGTCATGTGTCCATGTAGGATGGTTTTGGTGAAGGGGTTGAATCCTGTGGAGAGCTCTGTGGAGAGACGGAAACACGCTGATTTAAGACAAGCTAAAACATTTTCTTGCTACAACTGTCTAGAGCAAGAACATGCAAGCTGCAGTAAGTAAATGCAAATGTGAGTGTTTTTGAGTCAGAGATACCGTATGTATGCTATATGTCTTCAATATGGCATTGGCTAAACTGTCCATCTCTGCAAATTCTTTCAATTGATGCATATCACCCAAATTCCTGTCTTGTTTTACTTATCAGCAGTCATTTTAACACACTATTAAACAAAAGCATTAGTTCTGCAGAAGCATTCAAGCAAAAATGGTTGGCAAAAGTGGTTTAACATTCAGTAGTGAGTCGCCTAAAATACCAGTAATCTCAGGAATGTCATGGCCTTTACGTTAGAAAGGGCAAGTCACATACACACACACACACGCACGCACGCACGCACAAACACACACACACCACAGTGGCTCCAGATAGCAATTTACAGGACAACTGGCCTTACAGCTTTGACCTTGAGGGCTGTCACATTACAAGATCCTTTTTGGTCGGTTGTTTTGCTGAGTGCACATTGTGCCAACCCTTTTTCCAGCTTGTCACAGCATGCATGAAGAAATAAACTGGCTTGACACAATTTATTGCTAAACATTATTGATCTATTTGCATCAGACTTGTGCTGCCTATTTGTATGGCATTATACTGAGTGTACAA